TTTACTATTTATGTTGTGACATATTTTAATTACTAATTATTGCTAATTAATATACGTCGTGAAATATAATGCCAAACTTGCCAAACATCTATATCGTTACATGATATATGATTTTTATAAAAGATCTACATGACTACATGTTAACAACTATAGTATATAATTATATTATTCATATGCGACATCGTCCTGTATATAGAATATAATATCATTATTATGTTAAAATTTCATCACTGAACCATTATAATATGACGGCTAAGAAGAAAATCCGCAACAGCCTTCGTCAGTATACACGTCATGAACGCATACGCATTTCATATTTTTAGTTCAATGATGCACGGGTGAAGTATCTTTGTCCTAAAACAATAACGCAGTACACAATTTCCTTGACACATTGCTGAAATCCGAATAAATCAAATGATTCAATTGGAGCAACGTTGACGTGTAGAATCGCAGAACCTATATAAGTATATAGCACATAAGGGTGTGTTTTTGTATTTATGACACCATTATGCAGTCGTAAAAAAATATCCATCAAGATCCAACATTATGTTTGAGTATATTGGGTAATAAATAAAATAAAATATGTACGACTGAAATTACTAAATAAATATACTCGGGCAGACATGTTTAGGCGTTGGACTGTATGGAGTTGAGATTATTGTGTGTAGGAACATCCTCTTTTCGAGATTAAACATAAAATATGCAGACAACCTTTTTTTTCTTCATATTTCTTGAAATCTTAAGACTTAAACATTTTATAAAACTCATAAAAATTAGTTCTGAATGTTTTTTTTTTTTTTGATATATCATTTTTTATTATGCTTATATAATTCAATAATATAAGCTGTGCCGGTTGAATATATAATAATAATATTATAAGACTATTAAGAATTGTAAATAAAAGAGGTTTTAAATAATAAATAAATAAATTGTAGCATGTAGGTACCATTCACATAATAATTTGTACTCTGTATCATATACATATTTTTTGAAAAGTGAAAATACATGGAATTCGATAGTCGATAACTTGATACTATATACGTCTCAGTGACGTACTGACGTAATATACACAAGAAGAGGGTTATGTGTCAAACTCTTATTGTACTTTTTTTTWAAAAGTGAAAAGGTTTTTATAAAATATCTKCAAATTATATTTATAAATAGAACTCCCTGYCCCTTATTGAAAGTTTCAAGTTTCTGTGTATATTATGTGCCACTGATACGTATTGTTCAGATTCAATAAATTATATTAAATTATTACACAAGGATTTCCTACTAACTAGGTTACCAACCTACATAATATTTATAATGTTATTATAGTCCAAGCAATGTGCAGTATAAGACTGATTGAATGGTACTTTATCATAAAATAAACATTGTAAAACTTTGCGTAAAAAAATTAATGTATACGTAATGTAGCCATATAGGGAGTACTCACCATGTTTTTATGATAAATAAATATTTTAAAACTTGAAACCAAATTTATCTAATTCAATTGTTATAGYCATTATACGATACCGTATTTATTATATAGGTACTTATACATATAATATATATACGTGTCTTCGTAAGTGCATAAGTTTTGATAGCTATCAGAWAACAGTTTGTGTTTAATTTTTAAGATAAATAATAATTTTATTGTTTCATAATTCAGCATTTATGATGTCCTATAGATTGGTTGCAACTTAAACGGTTTAAATAACATGGCAAATTAATTACATTTACCATGGTGATAAATAATAAAAGTCGAATTTCAAGACTTCAAGTACCTACCATATAAGAATTGGAAAGTATACCTAAGTAAAACATTACAGGGAACACCAATAATCAGTATATACATTTAGTTGTAAATTTGTAATATGTAAGTGTGTATAAGTAGTATGTTGTATCTATATATAGATATATATACATATTGTATATATGCCTACTATACAATATYGATAGACTATAATATTATAATTACCCACGAATCATAATTTAGCTGGCTGTTCCATAATCCATTACACAATAATGATACAATAAAAACAAAGTGACAAATGTTTAACTTTTACATTTATATTGACTAATCACTAAAGCAGTAGAGTACTAGCGATTACATAAACCTACTGCAGCATGTGTAAATTTTTGGTTTTAACAGATTATTAAAATGTTAAATAGGTATTAGATTTTGATGCAAAAGTGTATTCAAATGATAACGTGTACCTATTGCARGGAGAGTTGAACGTACGTTTGTATTCGATGTAAGTACATTATTATTTAATCTAGCTATATTGCTATATATACATGCAGGTATGTAGGTAGCATATTCTGAAAATCGTACTCGGTTGAGATTTCAGAACATTGGTTATAGCCTTATATAGATATATTATGGTCACGCGTTGGTGTAGTGCAACTATATAGTCCGTAGAAAATGTTAAACTACAATAATATTATAATATACTGTTGTATTATAGTTTATAGGAGGTGATGGTGAATTTGAGAAACTGTGTTTAATGMGATATTATAAAAACGACAAAATAATACGCAATAATAATCCGACGACCACTGCACAGCCTTTGGTCCACTAATCACAACACWATGTCGTGCACCCGTCATTATAACAATAYTATTTTATACTTTCATCTCATTATAATTATTATATTTTCTTGACGACGCCCATGCGCACGCGAGACTTGGACGCGTGGGAGCTTCGCATATAGTGTTTCGGTGGTGAGGGCGACAATATTATTGTTATTATTATATTATTACTATCGTAAAAATAAAATAAAACCGCCCAACGATGATGTTTACAACGCCGCTCGAAGAGCTGCAACTCTTCGCGTCTCGTCGCTCAACCGCCGCCGCCGCGCGAGAGGCCGCCCGGAGTTCCGCGACGAAAATATTTGTTTTAACACACATTCGTCGCCATTCGTTCGTTTTCGTGAGTTAAATAAACTTGGCGTTTTGATCGTGTTGCCGTCAAAGACCGACAATTACGAGTAAATTGACTATTACAACAGCCTCCCTTCCCAACAGATTGATTAGGAAAATTTGGGTATTTTTCGCGGACGGATCAGCTGCTGATGGAGACAATTTGTTATCATCCCGCGACGGCGATGGCGACGCGACACGGTCGTCAACCGGCGGAACGTGATACGGTCGTGAAGGAGGTACGTACACACTGAGTAGTGATAAGAAAATAAAAWAATAAATGTGTTTTGCGATATCGATAAACAATAATAATAAACCATAAAMACGACGACAGTAACATTAATAACAATAATAATATTATGTGAAAATTGCGAACTGTGAACCGACCGTTAATCGCTATATTATTATTATTATTCACGCACGCCGGTCGTTACAATAATATGCTATCGACCCGTTTATGAKCACATAAAACAAGAAATCGTAAAAAAATAAATAAAAAGAAACCGAAGAACGCCGGCGGTGTCTCTCTTGCTCACTCTTTCCGCTCCGTTTTAATAATATTAATATCCATTTTGCGATCCTCTCGGGACGTGTCGCGTTTCGACCGTCGTGCTGACACTGCTAGGCACCGCGATTCGTGATGGCAGATCGCGTGCGACCGTTGCCGGCGATGAGACGTAATTCGCCTCCGCCACCGCCGCCGTCGTCGTCGTCGTCGTCGCAGAATTCCAGAACGGCGCTGCAAACGGGAAGAGGAAAATAAAATAATATCACAAATATATATAGTCCGAAGTCGTGGTCGCTGCCAATCGCCGTGGTCGCCGGCGGAGTGGGGTAACGTGTGTRCGAGAATGTATCTCGAAATGCTAAAAATAGCCACCATCATCCGCCCGCCGCGAACGATTCTATCCTAATTCTTTTTCCACACGCAGACTTTTATTTCGTTTTCCTGCGTATATTTCGATTAAATCATAACTGCACCGTATAGTAGTACCACCGTCAATCGGGGTTTTCGTATTTTTTTATTATTTTTTTCACGTTCCTCTCATCAGTACTTATTATACCTAGTTTGAAATTTTTTTCAAAAATGTTGTCCAATTTTTTCCGTTCACTCCACCGTACGTCATGTCGAATCGTCGTGTGATGACCATAGTCACACGTCTGTTGTTGTAGGTAGGTAGTACATGTGTGGTTGACGAAATCGAAAAAAAATTAATTCAACACCGTACACTAGATATTGATCGTGCAAATGATCGAAACACTCAAACTGAACACTGACAACGAAACACGATACTTGTGATTTGTGAACATACCTCAACAAGTAAGATGAACATATACATATACATATTTTATTTTGTCTAATATTAGATTGTTTGAATATGAGTATATGACATTTTATTACAGTCAGATATTGATGTTACACATTTATAATTATGCTGCTGTACTACTTTRCTATTTCAGTATTATTAATTATTATTTTTGCCAAAATTCAATTGATCATGGCACACTTCTCCATGTCMGGCTAACAGTTAAAATAGTCATTAGCAAGTCATTTAACCAGTCATGTTATAAAATACTTATGAATTTGCCAACATTTTTAGCCTAGCCAAGATATGCTAGTCTATAATTTGTTAGTATCAATAAAATAAAAATGTTTATGCAAAATTTTACTAAATACCTATTTGTGGAATTTAATTAATTAGAATGATTGTCAACTATTTCATTATTTTTTTTATGTTTACCAAGTTTAAAATGTTTAAATTATTGATTATACTAATCGGAGTAGATATAATAAC